ATCGCTATTAGGTTGCAGGCCATCGCTATTAGGTTGGAGGCCATCGCAATTAGGTTGCAGGCCATCGCTATTAGGTTGGAGGCCATCGCTATTAGGTCGCAGGCCATCGCTATTAGGTTGGATGTCATCGCTACTTGAGGCCGAGGGTAGGTGACGAAAGCTAGCAGGGGTGCATCCGGACTGGTGGGACATCAAGCGGATTGAGGCAAATGCTCATGAAGTAAAACGTTGTGAACATGTAAGACACACAAACAGCAATGACACAGCCAACCTTAGAATTGAAGTCCCCGATAATTAAGGAAGCGTGGCTGGACTTTGCCACACTATTCGATGCATCCGATGTGTTTACGAACCTGTGAGCTTGTTGAATCTGTTGCACCGTATCCCGGAGGAGTTAAACCAAAGTGGATGCCATAATAGGTGCCCGAGAGGTGTCCCAGAGGCACTTGTGTCACACCTTTGCGCAAAACAGAAACACTTCCTTTCACCTCATTTTTTCTCCACCACACTTGTGGACCACTTGTGCCAGACCTGGTTTCCAAGGTCTTTTCTTGGACTACTAAATTAAAAGATGAACCTATCACTTCTCAAGAAGGATCCATTATTGTTTTAACTACTTGTGTGCCGCATGGTCCGGAACTGTCCAACGAACGGCCCCCCCCCCCTACATATGAAGTTTTCACGTGATGCAGCGATCTCGAGGATTCCAGCCCCTCACTTGCTAAAGCAAGGACAACTCCAGCTAGCTGGTGCTAGCTTTCGTGATTAGGTTGCAGGCCATCGCTATTAGGTTGGAGGCCATCGCTATTAGGTTGGAGGCCATCGCTATTAGGTTGGAGGCCATCGCTATTAGGTGGGAGGCCATCGCTATTAGGTTGGAGGCCATCGCTATTAGGTTGGAGGCCATCGCTATTCTGTGGGAGGCCATGGCTATTAGGTTGGAGGCCATCGCTATTAGGTGGGAGGCCATCGCTATTTGGTTGGAGGCCATCGCTATTAGGTTG